AGCGGTTGGTCTTGTTTTAGAGAGCAAAGAATTCTGCTTAATGCAATACCATAAAATTATTCTAGACTCGCAGGCAAAGTAGAATAATCATGTCGTGAAATAGCACCATTTTCCCGTTTTTCCGTTGTACACTCTAGGTATTATTAGCTCTTGATTATATCCAATTAAGCTTGCTTCATTGCAACTATCTAGTTTCCAAGGTTTCCAAATAACAGGTCAAAGTACCGAGACAGTTGTGGTAGTTTAGGTGTGGTAGGCTAGCTGTGGTAGTTTAGGTGTGGTAGATTAGGTGTGGTAGTTTAGGAGTGGTACGTTTGGAGCATTCTCATTCAACCTGAGAGAAACGGGCGAGAGAGTGGAAACGTCAACGTCTTAAGACCGCCACACGCGTATCTATGCATCGCTGGATTGACGGCTCTGACGACTGATCGGTACTTTAGGACTACGATTACTACAATTTCCCAGTAGCTGAGGGCATTCTTATAGAGCCTGGCACATGCACGTAGGCAAGAGAGGAGAGGAAAGGAAAGTCGACATGTTAATGACTGGACCAGCATGTGTATCTACGTGCTGCGGACTGATGGCTCTGATGATATCGCTACTGGACTGCGGTCAATTTTGAACTTACAAACTGCAAGCGTTAGTGCGATTTTAATCGTTTTTATTATAAAAACTTGATAGCTTGATTCAATTATCTCTGATGATATCAGTACTTGACACTATGGTTGTATGAGGGATGATGATAACAGTCACTTGACACTATGGTTGTATGATAATATCGACTACCCCTAATTCCGCCTCGAAACACTGCAAGCTTTTGCACGATTTCAATCGTTTGCGTAATATAAAAAACTTGATAGCTTGATTCAATTATCTCTGATGATATCAGTACTTGACACTATGGTTGTATGACATATCGACTACCCTAATTCTGCCTCGCCACACTGCAAGCTTTTGCACGATTTCAATCGTTTTCGCTAATAAAACTTGATAGCTCTATTATCACTGACGATATTGGTACTCAAGGACTACGATCGATTTTGCTCCAACATACTGCAAGCATTTGCACGATTGCAATCATTTGAGACAAAAAACTACAGCTTGATCGATTATCTCTGACGATATCGGTACTGTGGACTACGCCATAAATTTGCAATCATTTGAGACAAAAATCTGACAGCTTGATTCGATTATCTATGGCGATAGCAGTACTTTAGGAAATACGCTCTGTTTGAGCTGACTAACTGTTGAGTGATTGCAATCGTTTGAGACAAAACCGGGAAGCATGCATACCTAAGAATGACTCGACCTCTACTGTCATGAAAGGTCATCTGTGGTGTCAGGAAGCTAGCCCCAACCTGGCAAATGGTTGCAGCTGAAATATCACAACAAATGATAAAAACATCAAATATTATGTAGATTTATATAAATATGTATGTATAACAAGGGTTGTGCATATGTGCACGTCATGTATATGTATATAAATATGTATGTATAAAGGGTTACGTGTGCATATATATGCTAACAGTTTAAACTGCAAGGCATTCTTTCTAAATGGGTCTAACGTGTTAGACACGTATAATTATTTTGAATGTAACCATTCTATTACATTCACTGCTACAGCTGGATTTTTCTTTGTTTATGCAATAGTATTGCGACCATCTTCTAATTATTCCTCACTATCAATCCGAGATAATCGTAGTTAATGTCGCAGGGGAATAGTCAATTGAATTCGACCATAACAGAAATTTTATGGTACACATATACCAATAGAAATAAAATTTACAATGATAAATTTACACATTTGTTAAGCGAATAGAGGTCTTAGATGCACTGGTTTGCGTCAGGGGGGCAGGGAAAGTGGAGCGTATCGCGCAGTGTTAGGACCTAACGTTTAGGTAGGTTAGGGTTAGGGTAGGGTTTAGGAGTCTATGAAGTTTAGGCGTTATGGAGTTAGAGTTAGGGTTAGCGATTATGCGTTATGGGTTGTGATATTATGGTTAGGGTTTAAGCGTTAAGGTTAGGGTTAGGGTCAGGGTTAAAGGTTAGGGTTAGGGTTAGAGTGGGGTTAAGGTATGAGTACACTGGCTATAAGTCGGTGGGGTGCGTGTACCGGCAGTGTCGTCGCGTGTAAGTGGATGCTCTCCAATCGCAGGCAGGCCCCCCATGTCTGACGCACAATGTCGAGGCCGCATGCGTCAAAGTAAGCAGGCACTGCCAACGCACAGCTGCTCAGCGTGTCTAGGTCTGAGGCCTGGAACGCTCGTCCCGCCCCGCGGCCGTGCGCCGCCGTAAACGGTTCCGTCCAACGATGCCCAGCGTAGTAGCGGACCGGAGACTGCGTGTAATGGACAACACAGTAAATGTATACTGGGTGAAATATACAGTAAATATTTAGTAGGACCGGAGACTGTGTGAGAAACACAGTAAATATATACTGGTGAATATATACAGAAATATCTTAGTAGGCAGGGCAGGCAGACTGGTGAAGAAACAGTAATGATATACTGGTTAATATATATACAGTAAATATTCATAGGGGCCAGGAGACTGGTGAAAAAACATTGTAATATCATAGTAAAGGGTAGTACGGGCAAGGAGACCGCGGTGAAAAAATAACACGTAATATATACAGTAAACATGTAACATGCATATGTAAATAACATGTAATATTACAGTGGAACACGAATTATGGGACAGAAAACAACATTTAGTAGGGGCTTATTAATAATAGTCTGTTCATTGTCCATATAGTCTTGTGCATCTAACTAACATTTAAAGTTCGCGTAACCTCACAGCTAAATGCAGTATATAGACCTTACGTGTGAGCTCTTCTCTATGTTGCAAAAATCATCACTACAACTAATGTTTGTATGTGCTATTTTCATGTTACATATTTCTTCTCAAAAGTGTAAACGAATTACTTCTCTACGAAAGAAGCACCACCAGTGATTTTTACACATCCGGACACAGCCGAGTGATCGTTAACAGTTTTCTTTTCCATAGATAAATACAAGTTATATACATTTATTATTATATGTATTATTCCAGATAAAAATTGGAAATTTGGTTTAAATCATATATCGTTAATCTACATTACATGTGGCAATCAGGAAACAATATATGTGTTTTCGTTCCAAGCGATACTATTTGCCGCTATGGCATATGATATCCATATCTATTTTGGCGTTTATCTGGCCACTTCGTAGAAAAAAAAAAACATAAACTTGCGTCTGGACAGAGTTGTCAAAAATAGTCAACTTCGGAGCACATTTCTGGCTCAATCAAAACATTTTGTGAATGTGTTGCACACTGCCAAGTATTTTCACAGGTAGGCTATATAAGCCTTTTGTTGCGAGGTCTATCCATTTTAAGAACGTTTACATTATTCGAGCGCTACGCATTGAGAGCTCCGACAGGGAAAACAATCTCAGTTGCTTTCTCTCAACCTCAAAGTCCGCTGTCGCTACCTCATAGTTGTCGGGCGTCGGCTGGACTCATCGGTAATGAAAGGTAGAGAAGCATACAAGTCCGTTAATTAACCACCAACCATGGTTTATTTCCCTTTTAACAAACATCTGGCTAGAGCTATCATACATCCTGTATGCACTGAAGTCCTGTATGGCACGGCTTGTAAGATTCTCCAAGCGCATTAGATGCACCCGCATTTTAAAAGTGCATTACTGCAAAAAAAAACTGTTCGACCTGCCACATATGTTAACAATAATATTCCAACGTTTTTACGATGTTTTTACTTAATGTGTCTTCTGCCATCGATTTCCCTTACTTTTCAGAAGCACTCCCCACCCCTGCTATCAGCAATCAGACAACGAAATACTGCAGACCCACGCTCTCTTAAACTATCTTTGAGTGGTCATTACCCTCAAGTCTTTGATCACGCATCACAATATTTTCATTCACCCCAAAATAACTTCGATTCACGACCTTTTGGGTGAACATTTTACCCGTTAAGAAAGCACTGCTCCTGACCATTTTGGCTGAGATGTATAATATATCATGACGCGTATGCGTAAAAATGAGTTCAGCCTCAATGTGTCCACTACACCTACCTTAAACTTATAGCATGCAAGGTGGTTTTTGCATTCATTGTAATGATAAAGAAACCTACCTTCAACTTATAGGATACAAGGTGGTGTTCCACGGCCATTTTAGCGACAAAGGAAATGCTCCGCAGAGTGCAAATACGTATTACAACGTAAATGACATGCCCCCCCACCACACCCACAACACCCCCCACACAGCACCCCACAACCACACAGCCCACCCCCACAACCCGCCACCACAACACCGAACCCCACCCCACCCCCCCCTCCACCAATACACACCCCACCACAATGGGCACCCCCCCCACCCCCCAACACCCACCCCCACCCCCACCAACACGCGGCCACTCCCACCCAACACCCCACACCGCACCCCCACCCACCAACACCCCCACGCCACACCCCCACCATACCCACACACCAACTACCCCACCCCACCCCACCGCGACCACCGACGTGCCTGTGTACAGATTCCATGTCGGTCTTCGGAGCCGTATTCTTCTCTGCCGCGGTTCATCATCGTAGCTCACTCGCAGCGCCGACACACCTGAAACTTTGCTCACCTAGTTTATGCAAGCAAAGGTCGAGCCAAAGTCTCAGGCTGATCGGCGAAACGAAACGCAGGGAGTCGATGCTGACGTCCTATTCACACTCGGTAGTAGAATTCATGAACCACGACAACGCACTCTGCCGAGAACTTCTCATCGTAACCCTTTCACATTTTCCTACTCAAACTACTATTACTACAAAATATACTCTATACTATAACTACTGTACTACACAAAAGATATAAAAAATAATATATTATAATAGATATATAAGATATCATGATAAACTACTATAAATGTAAAATATATACTACAGTATACCATATTATAACCACTATATTATGCAAAAGAAGAATACGTGTCAGATGCTGAATCTTCAGATGCCAACCTGAGCAGCAGTGAGATGGGGAACAAGCGACCACCATCTTGACTGCTATCCCGCGCGCCGTGCATGTGCAACACGATGTGTAGAGAGTGCACGAAGTTGTCGACGGTGCACAGTTGAACTGTGGGATGTTCATCCTCTCCTTCCCCAGCACAAAGTCTTGTCCTTCGACTTCTCATTCCGGTGAAACCGTTTGGTCTAACTTTAACTAAGCGACACTCGGGCTACTTCTGGCGTGACAGAAGGGTCTTGAAAATCGACGAAAGAAGAGAACCGATTTATTGATTTTTTATCGATTATACACTTTTTTTTTTGAACAAACTTACTGTTTCATTTTCTGTTCTGTTAACATCTTCATTTGGAAATACACATCACTTAAGCATTATTAAGTTATTACAATTATATCCAATTAAAGCCTTGCTTCATTGCAACTATCTAGTT